ATTTCGACCATCGGAGGCGATTTATAATCGAACATACAAACCGGGACGAAGACGTAAAAATATGCCTCTCCCCCCCCCTCCCCCCCTCGAAGCTTTTGTTAAAACTCTTGCAAACGAACGCTAAAACCTATTGACAAAACGAGCCGAGAGGAAAAGGTATCGGATCGCGACACGCAAATCCCACGCAGATTAACGTCACCGATTCGAATCGTAGTTTTTGCGCGAAATTGTTTACCGGTAATCCCAAGAACGGTGAATCGAATCGACGCAGCTGCGTCAGTTCGCGATAAACTTCCGCTTTCTCTCTCTCTCTCTCTCTCTCTCTCTCTCCCTCTCCCTGCCATCCGCGGCAATGATAAAGAAAAGAAGAGAAGAAAATGCAAACAATTCTTCATTCGGCAAGGAGAAACTACATCGGACCAGTGGGAAATTTAAATCATGCAGACTTGCGTTCAACTTGGGAGAAATTTATCCGAATCTAAAAAAAATTAATCGACGTAGAAAATTCCTCGCGCGCCGATCTTTCACGGTTCTAAGACACGGTGATGAGCGTTTCCTCGTTCCCAAAAATCATTGTGCTTGTTCCAGGGTCTGTGCGAGCTCATTCTATCCAGAGCAAAGGGAAAGAAACGACAAAGGAAGAGAACGAAAGAGAGGACAAAAAAAAAAAAAGAGGAGGAAGTACACGCTTAAGCGCTAACCTAGTTGGAACTGCAAATGCTAGCTCCACGGCATTCGCAAACGCACCACTTTATCACCGGAGGGTTCTAACCAATCTCGCGTCACGACGGCTTGTCTACGATTTAAGTAACTGCCCTATTTCGTTTCTTTATGCACGCTAGGTGGATCTCGCCGAGAAGAAGACAAGAACTCCTGGCGGAGGCTTTCGCTAATCGTTGATCTATCTCGTCCGCGGTCGCGAGTTATCTCGCGCGTTTCACGACAACCGTTTTTAGAGACGGAGACTGGCCATTCCTCTAGAGCAATGATGGCGAACCTATGACCCACTCAGGCTTTTTTTTAAATGACCCACGCGTTAAGTTTTATGACTTATCATCATATATATAAAAGAATTTTAATTATTTTTCGAACCCCTCTTTTCAAAAAAATGTTAAGAAAATTAACAAGTGTTCGGTTAGAGCTTAAAAGTGAGAAATAAACGCATAATTGTGTTTTATGGAGGAGTTACGACTTGGTTATGTATACATATAGGTATTTTAAATGTTATATGAGTTAGTTGTGTCCAAAAAAATTTTATATAGCGCTTACGATTAAACAGATGTAACACTAAAAAACACACCAGATCCCATTCTCCAGAAAGGGTAGCTTTGCTAGTTTTTTATATAATAAAAGAGAGAATAGACAATAAAAAATATTAAGAAATAAAGTATATATATCTAATGTATAGTGCAGGAGTGACTGGGCATGATGTCCACCCCTTTTATGTCGATTTTTTGACGTCGACATTTATTTTTTGCTCTTCACTTGCAAAAGTAAAAGTTGTAAAACAAAAAGGAAACTTTTTAGAGGATTATAAAAGTGAGAACCAAAAAAGAGTTGTTTCTAACCATCCTCCCCTCCCCCTTTCCAAGTGACGCCACTGACTTAGTGACCCACGAGCTAGTACTAAAAAAAATAATGAACAAAATTTGACCTACTTCTCAAAAAGGTTCACCGTCACTGTTCTAGAGTCTGCCTGTTAACCTCGGATCTTTTCAAATTTCAATCAATATTAGAACTATCAAAGTGATCAAAATGATCAATTCACAATCTTTCAGAGATTCTGTAAACGATTTTTGTAAAATATATGAATAAAAGCTCGCGTTCGTTATCCTATCGCTTGCATTCTAATTTTTTTTTGACCAAGTTCTCATATTTTAGTCCCTGATAGTGTTAACCTATCACGCGCCACGGTAGTTAGGTCGCGATGTAAACGGGGTATTGTAACGATAGATCGGGGCGGCGTGGCCGCGTTCAATCTTTCGAGACGCACGATCGATCGTAATTCAAACATCGTTTCATCATTTTCTATCCAATGCATAAATTTCTCGTCTCGGAATCGATACAACGCCGTGAAGGCGGGAAGAATCGTCGGAGATCGAGGAGAGGGAAGAGCGAGAGAGAAAGAGAAGGAAAAAAAAACCTCGTCATTCGTTCGTATCTCGGGTCTAATACCACGACCACCGAGTCAGCCACCTTCCCGGGAGCCTTAAATTTGCATTTCCACGAATTCCATACGAATCTTCGAACCCCAATAATATCGCGCGGTGTCTTCGATCGTCTGCGAATCCGAGATATTCCAATATATACGAGCAGCGTTCGTACGAGGCGGGAGGAGAGAGAAGAGCTTCACGATAAATATTTTTCCGCGCAATCTGCCTCCGATTCCGCCGTCGCCCTTCCCCCGATTCGACGATTCTTCGTCGACGTTGCCGTCGTTGGAGAAACAGAAAACGTTCCATCGGGGAACGCTTTCAACCGTGACGTTTCAGTGCCACGGGCTATTTAAAAAAAAAAAAAAAAAACCGTGTTGGACGGTGCGGCGCGGCGCGACAGCAATTGCGAGAAATGCCAAGCAACGCGATAAAAGCAAAAATTTCCAGTTCGTGCATTGTGGTTTAGGTTGGAATCGAGGAAGCTTCGACGCGACGCGCTCTATTCGGACACGAAATCTGAACAGCGCGAGAAACAAGGGCAAGGAACAGGCGTGAACCGTGTCGATAACGGAGTAGCCAGACACACGAATTACACGAGCTCTTGGACGCGGCCGTTTGAATTATAACTGCCACTTAATGCCGCTCGCTACATAACCAGAAGCCCCGAACGACTCGACAACTTCGTAGAGGCCGCGTGCCAGGAACTCGTAATTGTTTTGAATTAACGATACTTTAAGCTACGGCCCAACTCCGCGCCAGAGCACAGACGCGACTCGTCCCTGCGCGCTTATTCAGCTTCCACGGTCGATCCGGCGGCGCTCGTTGCGCAAACCGTTGCTCATCCTTCCCGAAACATTCCGACAGCGAGATTTTCTACTTCATCCTCGACGCGGTGTCCAACGAATGGACGTCGGTTTCATCGTCGTTCCCTATCGTTTCTTCGAGCCAAGTTGCATTGAAACGGAAAGTGAGACGAAAACGATCTACGTTGGGAAAGAAAAGGAGAGAGAAAACAAAAAAGGAAACGAAAAATCAGGCACAAACGTCAAACCAGACTATCGATTGTACCACGCAAGATGCCCCGGGTTCGGGTGTGCGAGCGTATGCGCGCGGACCGACGCGGCGAACGCTGTGAGCGTCCATTAAAAAAGCTCAAATCTGACCCGATTTTCTGAAACAGCGTCCCGCGTGCCTCCCGTATTGAAAACAGTTTACCCTCCGATGAACTAGCGGTACAACGTAACGGATTTTTATCTATCAAAGTTGAACAGGATGGCCGGTGCGATCGGCCGGACGGCAACAAATAAAAATAGAGAAAAAAAAAAAAGAAGAAAGAAGGGAGAAGAGCGGAAAAATAGCCACAATCGGGAGGGGAAAAAAGAACTGTATCTCCAACGGTGTGAAATGATTTTTTTTTTTTTTTTTTTATTAATCGACGGACAGAAACGGAAAACAAAATAGAAAGAAGAATCGCGGACGGCGGAAACCGGGAGAAAACGATCGACGCCGCGCTTTCGAAAACGCCGCGACACGTCCACGGTGTTATCGATATTACATTCATCAGTGAGGTATCGTATCGAACGCTGCCTGCTTTCCTTCCTTTTTTTTTTTTTTTTTTTTTTTCCCGGTTTTCCTTCCCCGTTTTTTTTTTTTTTTTTTTTTTCAATAGACGCCCGTAGACGCGCATCTTTCCTGCTACGATACTTTTTTTCCCCTCCTGTTGCTTTTTTACGGAGAATAAAAGCGAAGGGAAGAGAAGAGGAGACACACGACGCAACGACGGTAGGCTGTCACGGCTCTCGAGCTCAGACACGAACGCAGCGCAGTTATTGGAATCGCATTAATCTGAGAGAGGCGAGATCCGCGTTTTTCCGCGATAAATTTTACCGCTGTCAGAGAGGAGAAGAAAAAAGAAGAAACGATACAAATCAGCCGTGTTCGCTCGTGGATCTTTGCATTTTCATTGGGACAGATCCGTGTCCGTGTTTCATGTTTTCCCCGCCCCTCGTTCCTCCCCTGTCGCGCTCGTGCGAAACGATAAAGATCATTCACAGTACACATTCTCCACCGAAAAGACGAATGGAAGGAAAACACCGTCGACGCGTCGATATTTCATCGCGAGCTTTTAATGGCGCATCGATTGAACGCTCCCGAGAATCTCAGGCACGAGTGGCTCGCACATTATTTTACGAATACGTGGATTCTTGCTATAGAAATTGCGAGATGCGATTTGCACCGTCGGCGGCTGGAGCGCGTGTCCTGGAATGTCTAAGACGACGCGATGAAGAACCATCCAGCTTTATTCCACTCGGTCAGCGAACTTTACTTTTCTTTCTCGCCTATTCCCCAACGAAAACCGCCATCACGCCAGTACCAGCGGTGGTAATTGTTTTCAAGTAATCACAGAAAAATCCTGCTCGCTTCGGCTTACGTGACATGAATTTAATGACGCGATTAAAGTGCCAGCCCTCGGAAGGCTGGTTCTCGCACACCGGCGAAGGAAACGGGAAAGACAAGAACGTCCGACTGGCAAATTTTTCATCCAGCTCTTTCAACTGAGTTCAATCGAGCGTTCGTTCACTCGAGGGTGAAACGCTCGAAGATCGTCGACGAACGAGACAACAATCCGCCATATCGGATCGGATAGATCGTCGAATGTCCCACGTCGGGCGTTCCAATTATTTTTACGACTGGACGACTGTCGATCGTGTCGGGCGAGCCGCAGGGATCGGCGGTTACGTAATCGTAAAAGTACGGGAAAGTCGAAGGGAACGGTGACGGAAAAAGGGAGGGAGGGAGGGAGGGAGGGAGGGGAGAGAGACGAGACAATAAAGAAGACCTCACCTCGTTCAAGTCGATCTCCTCTTGAGAATTCAGGTCCGGACACGTGAAGATCGCATAGTCCCTCTCCACGGAATTGTCCGCCCGTGTGACACCGGCCAGAATCAGCACCACTAAGCACCACTTCATCGTCCACGCTAGGCTCGCCGCTGGAATTCTTCCAAAGTCCGATGTTCCTCTTCCCTGTCACGCGCGCTCCAAATCAATCGGCCGAAACGCTCGCTAGCATCGACGCTGGCTGTCGATCGCGATCGTCGCTTGTTCGACTTTGGATCGTATCTTCGCTCGCTGGCGCTACTAATCTTCTCACGCCGACCGTGTTCGATTCTTCGAGGCGAAATGACACTCGCGCGCGGCGGTTCGAAACGCTGCCACTGAAACGGAAGATCGAGCGTGTCCTCGTGGTTGCAGAACGCGGAAGAGCAGATTCAACGGGACCGGTGGCTCGTCGTTGCGAGAACGAGAACGAGAGACCGCATCGTAAGCTGCGTCTCTCCGCGACTAATATTTTCCAAGCGAGTCACAACGACTGGCAAAGTTCCCCCTGTGTTTCCTTCTCTGCTGTCTGCTGCTCTGTCGCTCGCTTCTGGAACGCTTTAATTGAACGCCTCGCTCATCCCCGCGCCGCTCGCCGTGATCGATGGCTCAACGCATCTCGCTCTCGATCGTCCGGTGTTTTCTGGCTGTGACACCGCGTTTGTTGATGCGATCGACGAACTAAAAATCTAACGCGTACGCGCGATCCGCTTTCTCACAAGGCTCTCTCAACTCGTTTCTCGTCGTGCAAGCATCGTCAATCAATGAAGAAGCTCGATGAAGAAGCAGTCGATACGGTGTCCTTTACGAACTGTGTCTGTCACTTATCCGTGTCTCGTCAAGGCGCGCGCATTTTACGCTGTTGCATCCGAGTTCTCTCGACAAAACGAACGACGAAACGTCCGCGAGCCAAAGATGAAAGAAAGTCTGAAAGATCCACGAAAACGAAGAGGGAGAGAGAGAGAGACGACGCACGAGCACACTTGAGTCACTGGTAAACTATGTTCTTCCTCCTCTTCTATCGGTATTTACGGATGAACGCGATCAACGATCGCAATGGATCGATGCACCGACGGGAGTGTGAACGATGATCTACGGGCGGGTGACGATCGAGCAGGCAGGGATGTGCACGCGGCGCAGTCGTAGGGCACTCTGACGTTCCCAGTCTGCTTGCTGGTCCTCGCTACGTCCGTCCGTCCGATCGTCGCGACGCCTCCGCGAGGGCTGGGAGGGGAGCAGGGAAATAAGAATGAACTGTACGCGCGCGATGGGAATCGCGGATTATCAGCGGGATCGAGGGGACGAGGCTGCCTTCGTTTTAGCGGCGAATCAATTTTCGAGGAAGTATGCAACCGATTGTACCCTCGTGCTTTTTTTGCCCGAGAATCGAGGGAAGCGAGCAACGGTTGCGCAATAAAAGCGGTACTTTCGCCAACCGGAAGTAGTGGATTCTCTCCAAGGTTACTCGCAACGACGTACCCTCCGACTCGCTACAGTGGGTTTGCTTGGCTTTGGTCTCTCCCAGATGAAATGAAACCAGCCGCGATACGGAAAGATATGAACGTTACGGTTGTCTGTTAACATGACAAACGTTTCCTGCCTGAAATTCCCCACGCGAGAGACGTTTCAAATTGCCTGTGGATCGTCTCTTCTGACATGAAGGCACGCGTGCCTTCGCGAGCGGAAAAGGACGCGTAAAGGAAACGAAAGACGATGGAATCGAGAGTCGCGAGAAGAAAAATGAACCAACGATTGCTGGATCGAATCTGTGTTTCGAGGTTTCTCGCTGTCAGATAAATATAGTCGAACGTTTGGTCCGACACCGTAATGAATTGTCAAATGCTAAATGACAGTGCTCGTCGAGGAACATCTCGATATTCTCTGTTATTACTAATTTAACTGTCTCATTAATTGCTCGGTGTTCTAAGCCACTGGTCGATATCTTCACTAGAAATTCATAAATGTCACTTGCTAGAATTTCTTTCCCATTCAGCTGATATATAATTCATGTATATAATTGATATTCAATTGATGTTTAATTACGTTAATTAATGTTAAAATCACTTGGCTCGTCTTTGTTTCAATTCACATTTAATGGAATGGTGTTGGAAGATCCAAAGATTTTTTATAAATGGATAATGTATTAAACATATAGAATAAAATTTTTTATTTAATTGTATTTTATTACTAGTCTCTATCGTGAAGTCGGAGAACGTGAAATAAAAAATAAAATTAAATATCCTAATTTAACGTGAAGTACTGTAATCATTTAACATCTAATATGATATTTCCTTAATCTTAAAAATTAAGTTTTACCATCATTGACAAAATTTTAAATTTCCCAGAATTGCTCCAAAGCCCTTGAATTAGGTACAACTTTGAATCTAGTACATCTGTGACTGAATTTTCCTTTAACTTCTCAAAAAAAAAAAGAAAAATCTTAGCGCGATTAAAAGAACATTTGACATTTTCCAAAACAAAATAACCTTATCGTTAGAATTAAGCCTAAACTTTGAATCTAACACATCTGATCGATCTAATTCCCTAAAAAACTTAAATCTTGGCGCGATTAAGAAAAATCGCGCCGATAAGGATGTTCTGAAGCTTGAACTTCGATTCTGATGCCGGACGTAATTTCGATTGTCAACATTTTCGTGAATCATCCACGTGAGAGCTTCGTGTCACCGTTTGAATCGTGGGTGGAAGATAATTTAGTCTTTGGAGAATGCAGAAGTGGAGAGACGACGGGAAACAAGAGACAGAGAGCCGGTAGGTTGAATAGAGAGGAAGGCAAAGAAAACGTAGCTTGTGCAACGCATCGGCCAATGAAAAGTTAATTCGTTCATTCAATCTGCCTGATGATTCGGCCTGCGGGCTGATAAACCTCGGCTGACGCACTCCACGGACGTTTTATCGGCGAAACGAATCACGTGGAGAGATACATCCAGATAGGATAAAAGAATTGACAGGATGATTAATCGATCCTAAGCGAAATTCGGGGCGAACTCTTTCTAACGGGGGAGTTCGAGAAAACTGTTCCGAGAAAACTTTTCCCCTCTTGAGAATCACGTTAGATCGATCCTTGTATTACAGCACGTGAACGTTAAATAGACTGCGAATGCTTGCGTATTTACCTATGGGAAATTCAAACACGGAGAAACGTGCAAGGTGTGTGTTCCGCGATACGCAAAGATACACAAGTTATAAGAAATAAAGTACCGGTTACAGGTTTTTTAAAGAGTAGAGCAAATACGTTATGCCACATAAACGTTGAATAAACTGCGAGTGTTTGTGCATTTACCTGTGGGGAATTTGTATGCAAAATAATATAGTGAAGTACACGTGGGTACTACGCGAGTATAAAATAAAGTAGGCACTGGTTATGCAATATCATACGATATTTCTAGAGCTGTAACATTTAGAGGGTCAAAACTCAAATCTCCATTCGTTTCTTTACTCGCGTTCATAGAAATATCAATTGACGTAAATATTCACGCTGTATTGTGGCCGTAAGACCATTTCTGAGACCCTAAGAAATCTAATAAATTAGCTTGAAACACTCTGTCTGAATTATCGTTTTATCCGCAATTCGCGTTGATTAATTTACTCTTGGAGATTAAATGAGTCGTGAGTGCAAATCGGATTACAGAGCGATACAAACAGTCACCAGGCTCGTAATACGAAACGATCAAGCAAGAATCGGTGAAAACTTACGGCGATCGACGATTCGTCGCTGATCATATTAAAAGTGAAAGATAACCTGAGGATTTAATTCCTCCTGGACGCACTCTTCTTTTTTTTTTTTTTCGTTTAAACGGGCAATGCCGCTTAATTATCACGTCCGAGTGAAGTTCGATAAATTTGGGCGATTTTCTACGGCCACAAATTGTAGAGTTTACGCAGCCGGTATTCCCAAGTTTCTTGCGCGTTATCGAACCAGGCCAAAGAAACGACGCGGTTGTCCGACTGTATCGCAGTAACAGTGAACTTTCGATTCGATTCCGTGAAATTATTAGAGTCTGAGGACAACACGCCGCGGAAAAAGTGATGGAAACAAAATTACAGCGTCCTCGAGAAGGAAAAACGAGATAAGAACTTGGTAAGTAATGAATTGTCACTCCGTCAGTAGAATCCTTTTTAACACACTCTTTGATCACTAATGATCGGCATTTACATTCTTGTAATTATTTCTAGAACGAATATCACCGACAGGCTCTTTTAATCTCTTAATTGGGGAATTTTTCCTTCCCTATGTTGAAATAGCTGCATTGCGACATATCACTTACAATATAATTATTTTCGTATGATGAGAAGACATGTCGTTGCATATATAATGTATTTTGCAGTGACGGAATAGATGTAGTGTGTAGTGTATCTTTTTATTTGATAGTGAAGTCAAAGTCTTATTAATACTACTATTGTGTAATAGTGCACTTGTACTCTTTTTACTGAGAGATTTCCTCACAACGTACAAAAATCAAATGTAGAATATCATTAGTACTGTTATTTAATACGTTGACTGCCACGCAAAGATTAAAAGATATTATATTACAATGAACATATAACAAAATCAGTATCTTTCGTTTTACAATGTTATTTAATTATTTACGTTATTTAAAATTCTTTGCTAATGATAATTTAATTATTCTGAAATATTTTATATAATTATTTTTAATTGAATATTTTGACAATTATTCTAAAATAGAAGTCACAGCAGTGACCATCGTAACAGTCAATTGGTTAAAATTTATCATACATTGAGATCTAATCGATAGATCTTTACGATATATTACATCTAATCTTCGTTATCGCAACATCAATGAATCGGTTAATGATTAACATCGAAAACAAGCCATTCTATAATTTCATTCAATACAGGACACTGTTAAAAACGTGCTGAAATGTTATTCACAAGCAATAAAATTCCTTTTTTTTTTCAAATATTTCGTCACATATGATTAAGAGATCAAATAACAAATAATCTGATAATATACCACAGAATGAAAGATACGCATTCGTTGCTTTTTCTTTTACTGCAACGTGATATTTTACACTGACAAATATTCCGTCCCGGAAGCAAGACCGATATAAATTTCGCCTGGTAGTCAAAGTGTTGAAAGAACGTGCAATTTTCACGTTCTCGACAAGTAATTTAAAAGTGATTAGTACACGGTGTAGATACAATCGATGCGTCCCATTTAAATTAAACGACAATCGCGACAAACGTGATAAAGTAAAACAACCAGCCCATACGAGACAGTAAAGGGATCGCGGATGATTCGCAGCATTCCAGTCGTTCGAGAGTTCCGTTTCCGCACGCTTCTAGCGAGGGGATTAATTACGACGCGACGAGGATATAACCAACTGTACTGAGCGCCATTACGAGGCAGTTTAAACGAAAAAAAGGGAGGAAGAAAAGTGCAGAAGAGCCAGAAAACGAGCGAGGAATAGGGGCAAAGAGAGGACGGGAGAAAAAAGTGGAGTGGGCCTGGGAAAGCGTTTTCCAAGAGATTTACATGACGGCAAGACCGGTTGCGATTACGCTCTCAAGACCGAACGCGGTGTTGAAAAAATATATCCGAATCGCATCGCGGACGACGGTGGCTCGATAACACAAAACGATCTAATAATTGGTAATTTGAACGCGTGGCCGTGATTACGATCTGGATTATTTAGTGACGAAAGCGTTGCTTTCCCGATATGAATTTATTCCCCTTAATATATTGCTAACGGTTTGATGGTTATTTATCCGCGGGAGGGTCGTTACACCTGATTCATTGGAATTTCATAAAACGTGACCGGCAACCAGGCTAGCGAATACTGATTAATTCTGTCTGGCTGGTGGACGAATCGTTACAGCCAGTCGGAAATATGCCTATATTTTTCCCTCTAACAGACGGACGCGTTTCCGTGACGCTTCGATATGTCGATCGTTATTACATCGGATGCAGTAAAGAGAAACTATCGATCCGTACGATCAGTCAGAAATCGTCGACTTTTTTTTTTTTTATCGACATTCACAGCTATTTCACGCTGGCCAGTTCAACACCGTCGCTCGAGAAGTAGCTTTATAATATTTTTCTTCCCTCTTCTCGCGAGTTTATCTTTTTTTTTTTTTCTTTTTTTTTCGTATCTATTTGACGTGCCACTCGTAACGTCGCGACTTC